ATGTAAAATATGCTGGACCGTTACAAAAGTGCATGGATTTAAAAATTTCCTTTGTGTAATTGATGTACAATGAAGTTTATAAAACTATTACTTAATATTTATTTAGATAGATTGCTTTGTATGAATGAGAACGATTTAGTCAAGAGCTGAAATTGATATTTAAGCAGATTTTTTGCTAAAACGGAGATGCACAGGTTACTTCACTGTGTACACTCCAATCCGACAGGAGCCCCTTCTTACATGTGCGAAGGTGAAGGTGATGCTGTATGAACTTTTGTTATTAGGATGCTTTTAGTTGAATTGACACTAATGATAATAAAAACTGAAACACATTTTGTATTCCCGAGAAAACATGTTTGTTTATAATAAAATGGAAAGTTACGATACGTATTCAACGTGTAAGTTATTACAGTTTATCCTCGATGGGAAATATTGAGATTTCCACGAAAGTTGAATTCTTTTTTCTACTTTTCTTAAAATTAGGGCGACGTGGAACTGGCCCCCATGAATGAGAAATTGCCCACTTTTCAAATTTTTATTTACGTGACGTAGTAAAATAGTCTTTTGTAACACAGACTATGTAAACAAGCAATCATATTAATTAAATAATGCTTAGCATTCATGTAATAACATAAAAGTTATTGAAAGGGACACTTTTTTGGAGGTTATCTGAAAACGACCCATATACCAAACTCATTGGTCAATCGTTCACTGAAGGTCAGTTCCCAGATTTTCTAAAAATATCATTGATCAGACCCATACTCAAAAAAGGTGATCCCACAGATCCAAACATATATCGCCCGATTGCATTACTACCTACTTCGGCAAAAATATTTGAAACTGCGATGGCAAACCTCTTTTTACTTTTTACTCTTTTTACTCGTTTTATGAAAAGTTCTACGTATTTCATAAAAACCTACACGGTTTTAAACAAAAACATTAGATGACGTTAGCCATCTACGAATATGTTCGAAAAATTCTTGACGCGATAAACGACAGCAAGTACGCAATAGGTCTTTTATTGGATATGAGTAAGGCGTACGATAGAGTTTGTTATAGGATAAATTATATATAACTGGTAGGTATTAGAGGTACAACGCACAAATGATTTAATCCTACCTCGAAATTCGAAGACTATATGTTGAGATAGAAACTACTAACTTTAATACGGGAAAGATAGAAGGTGTCAGATCTGAAGAAGTAATCATGAAAGGCTCTAACCCACAGGGTAGCATATTAGGGTGTATCTTATTTCTTAATTAACGTTAATGACCTCCCCCACCAATTTGATAACCAATGCACTATTTTGCGGACGACAATTCAATTATAGCACCATGTTCCAATACTAATAAATTAAACAATAAATTGGATTTTACCTTAGACAAAATTCTAAATTAGCTAGAAATTCATAACTTAAAATTAAACTTAAATAAAACTAAATTTATACAATTTAAGCCCTCTCAAAAGCTCCCCTACCTTTGAACTATAGTTATAATAATCAGACTGCCTGGGACTCGAACTCGACTCAAACATGAACTGGAAACCGTTTATCCGTAATCGTGACCAACAAGTTGTCATCTTTCATATACGCCCTACGCCATCTAAAGCGTGTAACTGATTTTAAATCTGCTCTTACGGCATACTATGCGTATTGTCATTCGAGGTTGTCTTGTCTTATAGCGTCATTATGTGTGGAAATTCTACTAACGTAAATGATGTGTTTGCACTACAGAAAAAGTGTGTTAGGATATGTTCACTGGTCAGGATATTGACAAATATAGAACAGAAAGAATCTTGTATACCTCTCTTTCAAAGATTAGGCATATTAACTTTAACAGGTATTTATATACTTGAGTCGTGCAAATTTATTAGAAACCATCCCTCTTTATTTACCCCGAAAATTTAAATTAAACGTAACAACAGAAACCTACATCAACTACATGCACAATTTTCTAACTTGAAATTAGTTTGTTCTGGACCGCAAATTATGGTAACGAAAATTTACAATCACATATCAATTTATATAAAAGAAATTCAAGAATTTAAAATTTTCTCCAAACATCTAAAAGAATTCCTCGTAAATAGAAGTTATTATAATATTAGAGAATGTTTCAATGATAAAATATAAATTTAATGTAATTAATTTGTTTGTTCTCAATTTATCTTATGCATCTATAATTGTAATGATTTATTTAATATGATAACAATTTTATTACTTTTATAATGAGTCCCCTCATCACTTTGCTATGCCAACAACAACAACATGTACATTTTCAAGCCACTGTACATATAACATAATATAAGTGTGACAATGCAATAAATGAATAAACTCGCAAAATGTGCACGCGCGCCATAATTAACAAATCATGCAGTGGATGGTCTTCTCTTTTATTTATTCATTTAACAGGGCTTACCGTTTAAATACGTACAGATACGTTAAATATAAAAACAATTCATTTAATACTAGTACTACCTATGCATGCGTTTAAATTAAAGGTATTCATAGCATATAGTACATATAGGTATTATTTTGGAAGCAATAGAGATTGACCAGTATATTTGTACATATTAGTGCAGTAGAAGTCCTTGTGAAAGAGTTTGTCCTGGGAAGTACTGCCACCTTACCTATTTCTGCCGCCAAACAGTAATGTGAGCATTGCTGTGTTCCGGTTTTGAAGGGCAAGGGTGCTGGTGAAATTACAGGCACATGCGACTTGTGAAGTTATGTCTCAACTTATGACGGGCGCACTGGCAGTGTCTCTCAAATCTTTGCGATTTAAACCTCTGAGTGGCATAGAAACTATTATGGACAGGCGTGTCGCTTACCACCAGGCGCATGACTTATCCGTCTCGTCAGAAACTTTCCTTTAAAAAGTAAAGGAAATGATTTCATTGTATCTTCTCATGGAGCAAACTGTAGATACAATGGTTTTTCTCAGTTCAATTGCAAAAGGTGCAAAAGGAATACCCGACTTGATACAATTTCCTTAGAGACATGACCGTTAACGACAACCCTTTGTGTTCGATCAGCGAAATAAGGTGTAAACCAGTCCAACAAAAAGCCAATAGCCATGTATACCGAAATCATTGCGCAGTTTATGTATCAAGGTTGAGTGATTTACTCTGTCAAATGCCTTACTGAAACCACTGTGTATAGTCATCTACTTCGCTTCTGGAGCTCATAAGTGATAACGTTATACGACAAATGTTATAAGGTTAGACGTCGTGGATCGTTTCCTCACGAATCCATGCTGTTGATCAGCTATAATTTGTTTCATATGCCAGGACAAATAGGGACACAACAACAACTCAAAACCTTACAGAACAGGCATGATAACTTTTAACTGTAATAAATGGTCGAAAAATTTTTTTCCAGTTAAATGGGATGGTAGTAACTTTGACCATAGCAAGCGTCACCCGATTCCAGCTCAGAATTAAGCGAGTAAACTCTCCACTGGTGTTGGAAATTTGATGATGTGGATTTTGATGAAACCATATAAGTTTATTATGAATATAAGTACATAACGCTATCTGTAATAGAGATAATGGTAATCGTGACGCAAAATATGCTAGCACCAGCTCTTGTGTCCACTGGCAATGATAAAAGTTCATTGTCATGTACCTACAATAGCCACACTTGTAATCCCAAGAGATGCAGCAGCTCGGCGAGTGATGATCCACGGATTATTCTCGAAATGAACCTCCTCTTCAATTTCAGGATCTCGAATACTTAGGTAATCTTTTGACCTTTCACCCTGCAATGAGCCAATAGTTTGAAGCCTCTACATCATATTGCAAAAGCAATTTCTGGAAGGAAAGGCAAGACAAGCAACTTCTGGTCTACCATAGATCAATCTTTTACGGAAGAGCCCACGAGCTTGGTCTAAGGCTTCCGTCTGCTGCTCCAATGTAACAGTACAATAATTTCGTCATATTTTGAATTATTTGGAAATGCCGTTACTATTTTATTTTGAAATTGTTGTCATGACACAAGATGTGAATGGAAAAGATGGAATATCAATAACATAATGAACGACAGTATCAGTACACTCTCATTTCCATTTTTTTCTATTAATCAGAAATAAAAATGTAAGTATCAAAACGCTTTGTTTAAATATGAGCGTAATTCGGAAATCCTCTACCACTTTAAATAAAATGAATTGAACACTATGTTTTCTCTATAACCTTGGATTTCCATTGCACCATTTTGTAACACCTAGTGCTGGGTCATGAAAAATGTCCATTTGTAAAAAATCATATTTTTCAAGAAAATAGATCTTTTTCCGGATATTTTTCCAATATTTTTCCTTTAATTTTTCACATTTGACTTTGACACCTTTCAAAAGTTGTTGAGCCATTAGGTTTTTTCCCCGTTACGTTATTAAATCATTATGAATCTCGAGTTCTTAGGTTTTTGCAATTGTTACACATAGGAAATGAAACTATTTTTCCGGATTTACCTCACCATACCATCTCAATCAACCGTGACCATGGGACCTGTAAAGGGTCTGAAACGTTGGTTTGTTTGAAAAAACAAATACACACGATTTCAATCCGAAAAAATAGTTTCATTTCCTACATTTTGAATCTCGTTTTTCTCTCATATGGCATTAATTAATAATTAAATCTTTAATTAATTTTAATGTAATATTTAAGTTTGTTTTATAATTCACACTAAATAAAACTTTAAAAAATATTTCTAAATGTAAAATGAGGCTTCGAAATTATATTTTTGAAATTTTTCTGGATTTTTTCCGGAAAAATTCCCACTATTTAAAATTTCTAATGAGCTACACCTCTATATACACTGATTTGTTTTGCTCAGACTGAGCGTTTCGTAATAGTAGGATTCGGTTCGTCATCGTCATGGTGGCTACAATGTGACGTCGTTTTATCAATCACTCATTTCATTCACAAATAAAGATGTTCATTCATTTTTCACTTGCAGAACACTATGTATTTTAGAAAATTACATTTCTAATTCTAATGATCATTCCCTATTTTTAATTCGAAGAACTTTAATTTTGTTGATTATTGAATCTTGAAGAGATGTCTGAAAACGAGGAAATTGCTGGTACGATCCCCCAAGAGGATATAGAAGCAGCGGAGAAATTGAAAAACGAAGCGAACGAGCTTTTTAAAAGTAAGTATTTATTAATTATATCAACATTACAAATCAATTTATCTTTTTATTGACCTGTTAGAAAGTAATACAATCTTGTTCCATTATTATCAATGTATCGATTGTGACAAAAGTGGCAAATGGATTTTTATAACCTCAAAATTTCAGAACAAAATTACAACGGTGCTATTGAATTGTATACACAAGCTATAAAGAAGAATTGGAAAAATGCTGTGTACTTCGCCAATCGCAGTATATCGAATTTGCGGCTGGAAAACTTTGGGTACGCTTTGAGTGATGCGTCGAAAGCTATTGAATTGGATAAGACGTACACTAAAGCTTACTACAGACGAGCCGCGGCGCATATGTCTTTAGGAAAGTACAAACTAGCGCTTAAGGATTTTGAATATGTAAGTATACCATCAATCCAACCCCCGACTTCTGCATTTATTTTTAACTCTACAACTTAAGATGATCTGGCATACCTCCTGATTCTATGACAAAGCCTTTACAGTTCAGGCTGTTTGTGAAACATTCTACCTTTTTCTATTCCATAAGTGCAATAATTAAATTTCTTCAAAAATATGGTGACCTACCGACAAATGGACATTGGGTTTAATATAAAAACCACAAAAAAAATGTTCGAAGTTAACCTATACAAACATAGTGACATGTAATGAAATATAAATAAAACAAACATTTAATTTAAATAGTAATGTCATTGCAGTACTGCCTAATTTTGCTTGCAACAATTTAAGTCCCTGCCATTAGGGTCGTATTTACAGTGCTTGTGTTTCAATTGCAATCCTGACTTGAGCATATAGGGTCGTATTCCAGAACTGTACTCAATGCTCAAGTCAGGATTTGAGCAGACGTCAGTATGATTTCAAGCACTGGAAATACGACCCTAATGGCAGGGACTTGAGTATGATTTCGAGTGCTTTAAACCATACTCAAATCCTGACTTGAGCATTGAGTAGAGTTCTAGAATACGACCCTGAGTAGAGTTCTAGAATACAACCCTTAGATATCTCCATTGCCTACTTTTTCTAAAGATACAGCATTGCCATCATGTTAAACGCGGCATTGATAAAAGCATAATTTTCTATAATAAGAACTTTATTCTAGAAGCAACATTTTCAATTATGTCTATTTTAAATAAAACATATTGTTTGCTTTACTTTCACTTACACCCTTTAATACTTCAACAATTCTGTTATCCTTCAAATAAATTTATCAAAGTTATTTAAAAATCTTTGACTTTCATCCGAAACAATTACTTGCTGTCAAATATTAACACTCATTACTAATTTGAATGCAAAACATTATCTTGCGTAGTATGGCTAATGTACCCTGGTATGTCACAAACTTCCTTTCCAAGGACAAAAGTCCTCAAAGACAAAAGTCTTCGAGCAGTGCGTGTTGCCAGTGATGACCTACGGCTCTGAGACGTGGTCACTTACTATGGGCCTCATAAAAAAGCCCAAAGTCACTCAACGAGCTATGGAGCGAGCAATGCTCGGCATTTCTCTACATGATCGAATCAGAAATGAGGAAATCCGTAGAAGAACGAAGGTCACCGACATAGCTCGAAGGATTAGCAAGTTGAAGTGGCAGTGGGCAGGGCACATAGCTCGTAGAACTGACGGCCGTTGGGGCAGAAGGGTTCTTGAATGGAAACCACAAACCAGAAGGCGTTCAATGGGCCCCCTACTAGATGGATGGATGACCTGGTAAGGGCGGCGGGTAACCGATGGATGCACGTTGCATCCGATCGGCTGGTCTGGAAATCTTTGAGAGAGGCCTATGTTCAGCTCCGAGTTTGTGATGATGTCACAAAGTCGGAGATCCACAAACGCCTGACAATTGACACAGTAAAGGAGGCAATCAAAAGTACCATCTTAAGATACTTTGAGAACCATCGGAATGAATTGGCAAAACAGTTAACAATCTGCAGTTACAACAAAAGGCTCAAAAGAAAAAACATAGTTCCGTTGGGGTAATGTAGTGTGCACATAAAGGGGAAGAAACTCCTGTTGGAGAGTTCGCCTGCGTTGACATAACCGATTATCAGCATATTTGCTAATAAGTAATAAGTAGAACGAGAGTAGACTCCCTGATGTTAGACCTGGAAGTTACTTTGAGACCTTGCTCTGATAAATACAAAGTAAGAAGAAAAATTAGCAAAGAACACATAACATACCACTCAAGTTATAACTCAATCAGTCAACTGGTCACATGTAGGCAGAAAAACCTACTTGTACGGGTTGTAAAATTGCTATGTACATACATGTATTTTTGCATACTTAGATAACATAAATGTGGTAGTGACCTGTTTAGCTTGCAGGTAGTCTCGATCAATGAAGTTTGAAATAAATATAGTAAATGATAAATGTGTATTTAAGATCAGCCTATTGTTGCATTCTCATTTTTCTCGGAATCTGCCGTACAAATGAGGCGTAGAGTTCAATCAATATGAAAATTTCAAGTGTAATTTACTTACTCACTACTTAATTTTGAGCAGTACAAGTGGGCAGCTTCTGTGCTTTATTTATTTATAGTCTCATAACTTTGATGGTATTCGTATACTAATTTAATTAATAAATTAATTTTCAGGTAACCAAAGTTAGGCCAAATGATCAAGATGCTAAACTTAAATACTCGGAATGCAATAAAATAGTGAAGAAGATAGCATTCGAGAAAGCTATCTCTGTGGATAAGAAAGAGGTTAACATTGCTGACTCTATCAATTTAGATGTTATGAGTAAGTTATTTTCTTTAACTATTCTTGTTTTCTTCGCCTTATCATATCGATGGCATACGCTATAGTGCTTGCCGTTGTGGTGAAAGGATTTACTGTGTGTGCACCAGACGTAACGGAGGGAATGGTACCTTCGTGCATCTATTCTAATGCAACATTTCCTTAGTGGGTATTACTGCCGTTCTGCATCAACGCTACTGCTAAACCACCCGTAAACTTTTTTTTTATAATATCAAGTGACGGGACAAACAAGTCGTGTGGCTGGTGGTAAGCTACATGCCTGTACATAACAGTTGTAGTGCAGTCATTCAGTGATATATTTTGATTGACAAGTCCCATGTGCTTGTAATTTCACCAGCATCCTTCCTTGAAAACCGGATTACAGTAAGCGGTAATGTGACCAATTACCACTTGGCGGCAGAAATAGGTAAGGTGGCAGTGCTTCCCTGGCCTAACTCTTTGACAAGGAGATCTACTGCTACTAAACTGTGAATCCAAAAGAAACTTACGATTGTGTCGTAACGGAGTCTCGTTTATGCACCATAGGCATTTTTTTTTACTTAAAATCATTCATTGCTCAATGTTGTTGGAATTAATTTAATTACGTTTTCATTGGAGATTTATACAAACAAGAAAATCGTTGTGGTAAAATTTTCGTGCTAAAAAACGGAGCAAGTCGAGTGGAGTTGATAATGAGGTTATTTGACTATACGTCAAGAATAGACGCTGAAAGCACCCTTGCTCTTATGGGGTATGCGTTATTACATGGCCTCTTAGCACTTATTTTACTTTTTTGAACATACATTTAATGTTTTTAAGAATTATTACTTTATAATGTTAATATCAATATTTGCGTCTTCTGTTATGAAGTTATCCAAATAACTATTATTTACACATAAATTATATTACTTTAAAATATATTCAACTTGAAACATCCATAAGGTGACTTATTTGCAGTATGACATGTCCCACATGTACTAAGTGTAATAAAACATTCTTTAGCTATTGAAGATGAATATGAAGGACCAGCTTTGGAAGATGGCAAGGTCACCCTCAAATTCGTCACTGAACTTATGGAGTACTATAAACAGCAAAAGAAATTACACAAGAAATACGCTTATAAGGTATGCGTAGTTAAAATTAAATTAAAATGTGCTGGAAAATTGCATCAATGATCAAGTATAATATAATAATAACGCACATACTCAACATAGCCCCGAACTAGGGAAACCCTGTGTCGTGGGTGCCATGGACACACACATAGGCAACCACGAATTACACCCAAACCACGAGAGAAATAAATGTAGGCCATACAAATATTTCTCCTGACCTGGGAATCGAATCTGTGACCTCTGTATTGCAGTCATGGTAACCGTTCTGCCACAGAGGCAGATCTAGAATTTACCCAGTACAATAAGGTTTTTTATGATACCACGTGACGGTACCAACAAATCGCGCCTGGTGGTAAGCACCACGCCTGTCCATAGCAGTGGCACTCCACTCAGAACTTTAAATCGCAAAGATCTGAGGGGCACTGCCACTGCGCCCGTCACCTTGAGACATAAGTTGACAAGTCCCATGTACCTGTAATTTCACTAGCACCTTCTTTACCCTTCAAAACCCAAATGCAGTAATGCGAGCATTACTGTTTGGCGGCAGAAATAGGCAAGTTGGCAGTACTTCCCTGGACGAACTCTTTCACAAGAAGCTCTACTGCTATTAAAGTAAAGACATGTGCCCAGGTAGATGCAGTAGCGAGGTGTCAGTTATTATTTTTTCCTGACTAATGTCGACTCGGAGCTTTAGAATTAGACACCTAGGCTTTTCTTCACTCTAATCTCCTATGGCTGGGGAATAGTCTGCAAAGGAGTGGGTCTCGTATGCCTATTAGAGGTAACTGTGGCTTTGGAGATACAGATGTGTCTCATCTGCTTCGTACAACGATTCTACAGTTTAGCTTGCTATTAAACATGTGTTACTTAAGCAACAACGTCTTTTGAGAGCACTAGTCTGCATTCGAAGGACTGTAGTGATCCTTATGTTTATAACAATAACTTACAATATTGTTTTTCAGATTCTAATCGACGTAAAATCGTACCTCCAAACACTGCCCTCACTTGTTGACATTAAAGTACCGGACAACCAGAAATTTACTGTCTGCGGAGACATCCACGGACAATTCTATGATCTTATGAACATTTTTAAACTAAACGGCCTACCATCGCAAGCCAACCCGTATTTATTTAATGGCGACTTCGTAGATCGAGGATCGTTTAGTGTGGAATGTATCTTCACATTGTTCAGTTTTAAACTCCTCTATCCTGATCACTTTTACATGTCAAGAGGTGAGTTTTCTTATGTAATACCACAAAATATTAAATACCCACAACTCACTCAAACATCCTTCAAATCATTACTGATACAAACATTGAACAATCACAAAGAAAAGTGCCTTCGACCCGACTGAACCTGAACCAGCGACTGTTGCCTTAACGTGGCTACCGCCACTAACTATGTAATAGAACACTAGTGGAGTCTTTTCGCAATAACTTTTTTATAAAAAACACCAATCTCACAAGTTCGTGGTATTACATCTATTTGCCAAATTGACATCGGTTACCGGAAAGTTCGCAAAACCACATTCATCCCCTAGTTTGCCGCCTTTAGAGGTGGAATATGAGGTACCCTCTTTCCTACAAAAAAATATTAATCAATATCGGTTCACAAATGCCGCAGTTATCGCGTAACATACATACAAAAAAAAGAGGAATTGAGAACCACCTCCTTTTCGGTTAAAAAATAGATGCATATCATTGTTATAAAAACATCACGATGTTCATATTTTCATTTAAGAGTAATATTATTAAATAATAAATATAATTTTTTGTGTACAAATTACTAAATACAATCTAACACAAAACTTATAGAAACATCGCAAGTTCTTAGGTTTTTGCGATTGTTACACATCATCGATTATATAACCAAATAGATACGAAATGTCATTTAATCTGTTTGAAAACTATTCTGCCAAATCATTACAATGACAACTGCGCTCCGTCATGTCACAGACAAAAGACCAGGCCCATATCTTTCTACTTAAGTTTCGATTATAGTCCCCTTTTCTATCAACCTCTTGATTATACGGGAAGATATAGTGCAATAACCTATGCAAGCAAGCCCGCGGAGGGACCTTAAAAGTTCAGGTCCTGAGCCTAGATCAGCCCATGGACAGGGTTGTCGTCTGACGACTGAATGAAGTCCGTGACAAGTGTCTACTTGTCACGGACTTCATTCAGTGCTCAAAACGGCCAGTGCCTTGGGTGACTGCCTCGAGTGCACGTACTGTATCCTCCCTACTTTCCAGATAGGTACCGGAGCTGTTGGCACGCTTACTTCCCGTTATGCATTGCACAATTTTATTAACAGTTGCTACTGCTAAGCCGTTGAATCTAAATTCTACTAACTACCAACTCTCCTCCCTAGTGATGGAGCTGTAGGCACTCTCACTTCCGACATCGAAGCGTCTCTCCAGTTCCTATTATTCCTACGCGACTGGATAGACCGGAGGTTATCTAGCTTATCCTCTAGTAGTTATCCGGACTAGCACCGGAGATATCAGTCGCAGTGCCCTACGACAGTGTCCGGACATAGTTTACAACATAAAGACCAGTCCCATATCTTTCTACACAAGTTTTGTTTACAATGCCCCTCCCTATCAACCTCTTGGTTGTGCGGGAAGGGCACTATGACCTGTGCAAGCGAACTTGCACAGGGACTATCTAAGTCAGGGCCTAACCCCGGATCAGCACGTTTGCACGCACTTCATCCGGTTCTCTGTAAGGCTAGTGCGTTAGGTGAGCCGCCCTTGGTGCACGTATAGTACCCTCCCTATTTTCCAGATAGGTACCGGAGTTGCAGGCACGCTCACTTCCCGTCGCGCTCTGCACGACTAATGGTTGCCACCGCTGAGCCGCCGACTCTAAGCCGACTACCAAATTTCCTCATTGGTAGCGGAGCTGTAAGCCACGCTCACTTCCCGACGCCGAATGAACGGCGTCTCTCCGGTTCCCAAATTCCTTGCGGCCGGAGGGACCGGAAGATGTCTAGCTCATCCTCTACTAGCTCTCCGGGCTAGTGCCGAAGATGCCAAGTGGCAGTGTCCTGCGACAATGTCCGGACATAGCCACCGACTTAAAGGGCAACTCACGTGCCCCGCGCGTCTCCTCGCCTTAGGCCCAAACTAGACCGCTACTAAGACGCGCTAGCAGCGCGCGGGGCGAACGCCCTGGTCACGATCTACCGGGGCAGACGAACGTGTTTGTCCCTCCAGCTAACCACAAACCCATACCCAAATCCGAGTCCATACCCAAATCCGGGTCCGTCAGAGACGCCCATGAAGACGTATCACTGGCGGAAGGCTTGGCCCAGACGTCCGCCGTACCCTGGCCTTGCCGTCGAGCCCGTAGTCTCTCCGGAAAACCCTATCTCTCGAGTCGGTAGATAGGAACAAACATAAAGACCAATACAATCCTACCATTGAATAGAAAATGTATAAGATAAGATGAAATCATATTAAATGTTAATAAAAAGGCGCCAAAAAAGTAGCTAAATTTTTCTTGTTGCTAAATACAAAGAAATGTCGCCTAATCTAGCAACAAAGTCGCTAAGTTGGCAACACTGATGCTGAATTATAAATTTCGTTTCAAATTGACACGGTGTACAGGGTCAAGAGCACGTCAAGCTTGACACCTAAGATTTAAATCCAACTCTATGCCGCTTACGATAAGAACGGTCCAAAGGTCAAAGTGTCAAGCTTGACGTGCTCTTGACTATACGAAGGCAATGTCATAAACATAAAACAGGTGGCCAAATTCATCGTCCAAAGTGGCACAAATGTTTTGATACCCATTTTTCATTAACATTTTAATATAAGGCCCATTTGCCTGATAAGTTGCCAGGTATGGATGGCTGTTATTTCGTCTCTATTTCTGTTTATATACTCGATGCACATAGGAATGAAACTATTTTTTTTTATCTAATTCGCCTATATTTGTTTTGTCAAACAAACTTCACAGGTCCCATTTTGAGGGCTGACTGACAGTTGCACAGCAGGACAATTACATGAACAGCATAAGTAGTTATAAATAAATGACAAAAAGCCGTGTATAGATAAGGTAGTCAGTAAATGAAATAATATAATTCATTTCAGGCAACCACGAAACCCTGGACATGAACCGTATGTATGGATTTAGAGGCGAGGTAACCTCCAAATACTCGTCGCAAATGGCAGACCTTTTCACTGAGGTGTACAATTGGCTGCCACTAGCTCACTGCATCAACAACAGGGTGCTTGTCATGCATGGTGGATTGTTCTCGAAGGATGACGTCACACTTGAAGATATTAGAAAGGTCGATAGGAATAAACAACCTCCTGAGGATGGTGAGTTGATTCTCTGTTATTTTCTTTGTAGTAAATTCAATGCTACTCCGCATAATTAAGTCTATAAGGTATGTATCAATGTTAATAATATTAAATTTTAATACTGTAATTATTCAAAAAAAGAATCCCTCGATCTGTATTAATAATTATAACAAACTAGTGTAGTAATTTCACATAAAAATAATTGAATGTCAATTCAATAGAAATTTAAATACAGTGAATAACGACATCTCTAGCCGGGGCCGGTAACTGTAAAGGTATCTAACTGGGTGACGCAATACTTTCATAGATGGCGCTACGGCTAAAAACTCGTTGAAAAAACCAAATACAAAGATACGACAACAAGCACATAGAAAATTCGTGAGGTTCCGCTGGTTCGTTCCCTGGCGTAGTTGGCATAGCGTCTGGCATGGTTTGCTAGAAGTCTTCGGTTCGAATCCGGCTTGATCGAAGGAATTTTTTTCTAAGTGTTCGATCTTTGTATTAATAATTGTAACAAACTAGTGGAATAATTTTGACATAAAAAATAATTGTATATCAATTCAATAGAAATTTAAATATTTTAATATTATTTTACGCTATATGTATTCTTTCTTTTTTGTGTTTCAAAAACAAACCTTTGAGTCGCGAAATCAAACATGATTGGTACAGAAACAGAAAAGAGTCGCTATACCTCTGAAATTTTACTTTTGTGGCTATCATAATGGTATTTTTACATAACTAATATATAATAAACATTGCCTGTTTACATAGCTCTTAGTGATGTTTACATAATCACGCAAATCTACATAAGAAGAGTTTTGATTGATATATAGGTACTATTGATTTAAAATCCCTTATTGTCTTTGAATAAAGAGAAATCCTAAAACGTTTGTACGCAGAACCATTGACTTACAAATAAATGGACGACGGGTCTAATACAAAAACCACGAAAAAAATGTCCCAAGTCAACCTATTTAAACGTAGTTACATGTAAAGGAATATGAAAAAGCTAAAACGTTGAATTTAAATTGTAATGTCATCGTAGTACTGTCTAATTTTGCTTGCTTCGCTGTCAGAAGAAACAAACGAAGACTGAAGCGTAAATGACGCTCTGTATACGATTTTAACGCCCTATAAGTCCGGACACTTTTTAGCGCGGACCCGACGTCCATATAATTGTAAGTCAATGCGCAGAACCAAAGTTTTGCTACAAAGTAAAGTTTTATTTTCATGGTTTTGTGATAGAACTAGTTACAAAATGATATTAATAACGTATTCATGTGTGTGCCTCTTTCATTTATTTATATAATTATTATTTTATAATTTATAAGTAACAAGTAAAGTAAAAGATGAAGGACCTTAATTCCATATTTTAGAATTCAGATGGTTTTACAAACAGATTACTAAAGATCACTCAATGGTAAAAGACATTAAGTCCTATAGCCGTTTGTTTCTTTTAACATTTATTTAATATGACGTTAACATTGATTTTAAATGCCTAATTAGGTACATTCCCTTTAAAGCATGAAATACACCCCAACACACCCACCCACCGTGCTCCAGATCCGACATGTGCCCGACTCGACAAGTGCCCGACCCGCTGTCAATGTTCAAATTTAGCACTTATAGTTCTTTACCTCTACTCGCCTACGGATCTCTTTTCGCACAGAGCTCGTGCAGATTTTTCCACTGAACTTCAAGACCTACTCTTCTCCTCTAGGGTCCTGCTTCAGCTCATCTTCCCATCTTTGAAGTATTCTGCTTGATACTATTTTGCTCCTTTTTTTCTCCATTAGCCTCGTTAATTAATTAAAAAAATAAACTAAGGGGTGGAGAGTGTCCAGTCTGGTTACCTTTTTGTTCTCTGCAGGCGCATTTGCAACTCATTCTCCAGATCTGTACGCACCCATATTACTTACTTGCCTTACTTGTTCCCCTAGTGCGGGGCAATGAGTGTATGTTATTATTTATTTGTTATTTATTTACCTAACTCTTTAATTTTCTTTAATTTTAGGTATAATGTGTGAGTTGCTCTGGTCCGACCCTCAACCGATGCTCGGCCGGGCGCCATCCAAACGAGGCGTGGGCTGCCAGTTCGGCCCGGACGTGACCACCAACTTCCTGCAACGAAACGGCCTGGACTACGTCATACGCAGTCACGAGGTCAAGAACGATGGTTACGAGGTCGCACACGACGGAAAGTGCATCACTGTGTTCTCTGCGCCTAATTACTGGTTAGTAGAGTGATTTTCCTGTTATATAATTCACCAATAAAGATTACTAGCTATTTGTTTTCAAACGTATGTTCTTTTCGTAAAACATTTCATTTGTGTCGGTCTTGTCTTATGTGTGAAACTGTTTTTTTATAATATTAAATAAAATAACAATAAATAAAGAAGACTTTATTCTTCAACACTACGAGACATAAAAACTTAAAATAGTGGCTTAAACTCTAAACCAGTTGAAGAAAAGGTATCAGCCTCAGCAATTTGCTGGTTTTTAAGCTTCACCTTATATATAATGTAAAGTACAAGTCAAATATATTTCTCGCTTTAGACACCGCAATATACAGTTTCTGATTAAGTATATAGTTAAGAAATCACCTCACTCACCGTAATTTATACACTGTTATATATATACTACAGAAATTTCAGTAAAAAATCCTATACAAAACCACAAAAATGATACACACACCTTTAAGTGACGGGACGAACAAGTCGTGTGTGGTAAGCGACACGCCTATCCATGACAGTTGCAGTTCCACTCTAAACTTTCAATCGCAAAAATCTAAGAGGCACTACCACAGCACCCCATACCCTGAGATATAAGTTTACAAGACCCATGTGCCTGTAATTTCGCCAGCACCCTTAACAGTAATAGTCACTTGCTGAAGTGTTGCACAGAGGGCACTGGTAATAATATAGACACTCTATATTATTGCTCTTCAGAATTCGAGGAATATCGACTGTGAACTGGCAACCGGTACTATCTAATATTGATAACTTTACATGATGAAGAAAAAAATTGCTTATTAATTGTAGAATAACGTCTTTTATATAACATCTGGTTTATTAAATAAAAATACGTAGTGTATGTGTAATAAAAATGTTTGAAAACTACGTATTTTTAAATATTTCTATATGTCCAGTTCTAGTTACCTCAGGATCTGTGATCGGAATTGAAATTAATTTAGCTAAATTAAAAAATAACGTGGACATTCCCTTCTACAAAACGCGGCACTCCTCGTCACTTATTATATGCTGATACTGCCTCCGTGGCCGAACAGTTACCATGCCGGACTGCCACGCAGAGGTCCCGGGTTCGATTTCCGTGGCGGGAGAAATATTTGTATGGCCTACATTTATTAATCTCGTGACTTTAGATGTAATTTGTGGTTGTCTATGTGTGTGTCCATAGCACCCGCGATACAGGGTTTCCCTAGTGCGGAGCCATGTGTGTGTGCGCGTTATTTCAATATGCGTATTTTTTACAGAAATATTAGTACATTGGCGACAAATTACTGTTTCCTATTAAATGTTTTTGCTACAAATTATTGTTTCAAAAATAATATTGTAATTGTGTTTCAATAGATACCTACGTATTTAAATACTTTAACCATTTAATAAACAAACATTAGACAACCTTTTATTTGGAATGTCTAGAAAATATTACTTTCAATGATACTAGAGTACACAATTATTTTATATGTGAATGCTATTTTCGTGTATAAAACAAAATTAATATTAATATTTTTTTATACATAAAAATAGCATCCAAATATGAAATAATTATCTACTTTAGTACAATTTAAAGTATTATCGTAAAAAAATAATTTAATATGGGTTTACACCACTTTAGCGCCGATATACTCAATAGTGTATGTCCATACTAAGAAAACGTTCATACTTTAGCATCGAGTATATAACCAGAAATAGAGACGAAATAAGGGCCATCCATCCCTGGGAAACTCATCAGGCAAATGTGCTTCATATCACTTTTATCACTAAACATCAACTCAATTTTGGGGGCTGTTGTGCTGTGGGAAAAACAGCAAAACATCTAATTACAAAAGAAACGGAATCACATTTCATCGGTAATTAAGTATTAAACAAGCAATTTTTCAATTATCGTCCATTACAGCAAAGCTAAAGTTAAACTGGTCGATTTGAAGTGAAACAATTGACGACACCCGTCAACTGTTTCGAATTCGGGCTGACCAATCGGAGCGCAGTTGTCACCGTAATGATTTGGCAGAATAGTTTTCAAACAAATTATATGACATTTCGTCTTTATTTCTGGTTATATACTCGATGTACTTTAAGTAGTTCATACTTTCCCTCAATTCCGATCACTGCTCATGATACTTAAAATAATAATTTTCAAATATTGCAAAAACCATAGCGTTTTCAAACTGAATATCGCTTCACCAGCTTTGTGCAGCTTTTCAACCGCTACGGCAATATCATCGAATATGCCGATGAGTCTACTCTATTAATACGAGCTTAAATTTTTCAGTGATACAATGGGCAATTTGGGTGCGTTCATCACAATGAATGGCAAAGACCTCAAACCAAACTTCACTACTTATGAAGCTGTGGTAAGTAATATTGGTCCTACGTCATAAGTAATAGAAATAACATTAGCTAATCTCTACACAATATGTACAGTCATATACATAAGATACCTGACTCCCCATGCCGACTTTGTCGACCTTTTGGTTCTGAGCACAAAAATGTGGACAAAATTGTTAAACAAAACTTAATCTTTAACCTGAAAACCGTAAAATTTATTTTGGTATGACTCCGTGGTCGTCTCATTAGTGAACGACATTTAAAGAAAATTTTTAAGCGAATTTAATCTTTAACGCATGGTTCTTACTTAAATAGAGAACACAAATTCCATCTAGTTTTAGTAACGCCGTCGTGGCCAAACAGTATAAGGATTGCTTTACAAATAGAGGCAAGCATGGTTCCTGGTGGTGGCACTTACATACTAAGGCCAGGTAGGGTAAGAGGAATACCGGGAGAAGACGAACTTGAAGCCTTAACTAAAGTTTAACACTAAAATATTCCAGTCGATAAAACATGAAGAAATTAGTTTAAACGATTTTAAAGAGATGTCGCTACAATCCTCCAAATCTTTGGCGGACAAAACTAATTTGATAGTTGTGTAATCTTGAGAACACGAGGTATACCTTTATAAGAAATGAATTATGCTACTGTTGGGTAATTTTCTGAAAAATTTCATATAGTGGAAATTTTCCCGGAAAAATTCCCAAAAAGTTGGAAAAATTGGAAAAATATACTTTGGAATTCTCATATTATGTTCTACGTTTAGAAATATCGTTTGAAGTTTTAATTAGCGTGAATTATAAAATAAACTTATATAACTAAAAGCCACCTAAAGTAAAACGAGATTTAAAATGATTTCACAACAACGAGAAAATATCCAACATCCACACCACCATGGCTCCATCGTTTTCGTTCAGTAACTTCAACTTTTCACACGTCACATGTGGAAAAATATTGGAAAAATATGATTTTTTTCAAAATGGAAATTTTTTCATGACCCAATACTACGATGTGCTGTTCCTCTTACTCCATATTTTGGGGGAATAGAAAAGTTGACTCAATTTGCACATGTTCGGCAAATACATCATAAATATAGAATGCACAATTGACAAACACGCGTGTCAATAGATGGCATTGTGTGTTACAAACTAAATTAACGCTGGCACAACTGGCAACTTTTATTTTGTTTAAGATTAGCGCCATATACCTATGCCAGGTATATGGCGCTAATCTTAAACAAAATAAAAGCATAACCGGGCACTATCCATAAAAATCTGTGCAATTAGCGCCATCTAATTAATTTGTTTGTTATCACTAGAAATTAGAGTAGCTTCGATAAATTGCGGCTTGGCAATGAACTAAATGGTACCTGTCGCGACATCTGGTGTACCAATAAGTACTAAATACCTTCTCGGTACTGAATGTCTTGTATCGCGATTAGCAGTCTTCTTGAGTTATTGGTCCGTGATGGTAGTGACCCATTTGGTTCTACTTACATTTGTACACATTTATCATTTTCTATTAATTGTAAATGATAAATGTGTGCATATGTTTACTTACAACGAACAAACCTTAAAGTTTCTTACTTATTCTTCTCAGGGTAATCTGCCTTACGAATGTGTTGTAGAGTTCAAATGTAATAAGTTTACCTATGAAGTAAAGATTGAGTCTAACATAAAATGTTTAGCTGTGACGTTTTGTCGCTTTATCGTCGATATAAAAAACATATGGTATAGAAGCGGTGTAGATGCCTGCTGATAAATTTGGTACAACCCCTTAGTCATTTAGAAAGTTTACATACGGCGACTTTTGAGCAGCGCGTCTGCATCTATTCAGTTGCAATGCAGTAATGATGCAGTTGTTAATCATCTATTACACAGGCGCGATTTAGCTACAGCACAATCGCGATGAAAACGCGACGCGATAATTCGACGTTTTAACGATGCAATCGCCCGTTTACATCGATGTACCCGCCTACAACCGACTGGCCCTAATCATCTATTGCGTCCAACGATACTGGCGACGTTGTTATAAGTGTCTCGGCTTCATTACTCCACAAAGTCTGCGGATATTGTGGAGTATATACGGATGAAAGCTAATGCTACCCTGAGGGTTGAGAGTACCAACTCAACATCTGTCGACCTTCATGAAGGAGGAGTTTACCGAAGGGTGTCATGTATCGACGTTTCCGAGGCCGGCTACCGGACACCCAAATTGCGTCACATGTCACAATCCTTATGTGTAAATAAATAAAGCGTTTTATTATTACATTTTATTATAAATATGTATGTTTGTCCTTAAGGTATATATTATGTAGTTTCTGTTGCCCGAATTAAATGAATGAATAAATAAAAAAGTACAAATCGCTACTGTCGCGTTGCTATTGCGCGTTTGTATCGCTGTTAAAAGTCCCGGTATGTAACCCCTCTTACTTTGTGGATTATTATTAATTTCGTCTTTATTTCTTTCCAGCCACATCCCGATGTGAAACCAATGGCTTACGCAAACTCCTTCCTCAGTATGCTTTGCCAATGATGGTCTTATTTCAAAGCATACAAAACAAAGCTACATGGCTGAGTGAGCAATATTTTTTTTCTACTATTATGCATTTAATAAAAATATAGCCATAGACATGGAGTGTACAATACGTCAGCGCCCTAAACTTGTAACTTGATAGTTGTAATGGACGGTATTTATAGAAAATTAAGTAATAAACCAGCCTGCGACACTACAAGTCTCCGTAATGAATTGTTTATTGAAACACGGTCTATTACAGACTGGTTTATTATTTGTTACTCGAGTTGAAGGTAATAAACATAACAGAGGGAAATGGCAAATCCTGTACTTTCGAAAAGCAATAATGGTCTACTGACATTGAAACAAACCGAATGAGTTTCGAAATGTACAGAACACTGAACGTCTGGCTGACTTTAGAGTTAAACCATGAGGCTCGTGCTCGATCATTGTAAAAAAAAAATCAATTTAGCCCGGAATTGGTCGGCCTAGTGAGTTACGTGGGGAACAACAAACATGAAGATACTTGAACTATACTATTAGGCGTGATCAAGATCATAATTATTTACCAAACATTTCACGGCTGTGCACGGTCACTTCTAAAGGATTATTGACTTCCGCAAAACACAAAACCGTGTATATTTGTTTTTTTTTTCAAACAAATCAACGTTTCGGGCCCTTTACAGGTCCCACTGTCACGGTTGACTGATCAAAACATGGTCACCTGCGACCACGGGAGCTGTGAATGGCCCAAAACTGGTTGGTTTAAAAAAATAAATAAACACGATTTTTGATCGAAAAAAAAGTTGTTTAATTTTTTTTATGCGGTATCAAATGACAAGACAGACAAGTCGCGCGCCTTATTGTAAGCTACTATGGATAATGGATAGGCCTATAACGGTTGCATTGCCACTCTTAATTTTAAATCGCAAATTTGAGGGACACTGCCACTGCGCACGACACTTTGAGAAACAAGTCGACATGTCTCATATGTAACAATCGTGAAAACCTTTGAACTTGATAAGACTTTCCGTACAAGCCACGCTGAACAAGATTTATGGTTTTATCAACCTCGTAACCCTAGAGAAGATATGAGATGGTACAATTGTAACCGGAGCCAAGAGTCAGCAATCAATAATTAAAGTACGTTATCGCCAATATTTTTATTAAATGCATAAAGTATGTCATAGTCAAAGTGATTAGAACCACTAGCAATTTTACGCTATGAAGTTACTTAAAAGCATACGTATTGTTCTTAAACTGGGCCTATATTTCTGGGAATTTCGAAGTGTTTAAAAGTGAAAGCAATAATTAGTCTTCATGCATTGTAATGACATAGATATTATGCCGGGTTATTTGATAAATACTAACAACCTCACGAGGCTATATTACCAAACATCGTAAACAGCAATTTTTGTTTCAAGACTTTTTACAAAACATAATACAACTTAAGTTTTTGTTGTACTATCTGAAAACGTTTTAGATCTGTGTTTGGTAATAAGATATTCAAACGGCTAGCGACCTTCACCGCTCTTGCGTTTTGCATCAAAGTGGTTGTAGGTACTCTTTCTTTTATTACCGTACAAGGTTATTTAGAGCGAGATATTGAAATATTTTTATATTTGTACAAAAGTAAAATCTGATGAATGATTAAATAAGTAGGTCCTGCGAGGTTGTTAACATTTTACTAGTAACCCTATACGCTAATCTAGGCATGAATCTAGTTGAAAGGGTGATTTTCACTAAAAGTTCCACCAGCAAGCCAAACTGTATAGATGTTGTCTTTCCAGTTCATTGTTGCTATTTAAACAGCACTTCCTACTAATTATCTGTCAAACTTGTAACAGTGTTGCCATTAAACCGCTGTTTCTACTACATTTGTCAAACTTTTGACAGTGTTGCCGTTTCAAACAATGTTTCTATTAATTTAGTAATATTTAAATTTTGTCAAGTCATTAGTAGAAACAATGGTTTAAACGGCAACACGGGCCTGGAAGAATATATTATTATTTCGCCTTTTATAAACTTCCTGACATTTTTACAGTATTTTATAACATTCCTATTTAATTGACAAATACATATATTAGACAATAATGTACTCACAAAAGCTTATGTTTTATAGTTGTATTTAATCATGAACTTTATAAATTTAAAATCAGAAAGTTTATTGAATGTTTCATAATACGTTTCAGATATCAAGCTATTTGATTTTGAACAAATCGCGATGAAATTGCACTCGCATAATTCAGATGTGTTTTTCTGCTACATTTGTGCCTAGATCTGCTAGATTTTACACTTAGTATCTTTAAAGAGCTCGTTTTTACCGAAATACAAGAGAATTATTTCTCTAATACGAGAAAGGAACCAATGGACAATGTTTCAAGACAATATTAAAGCGGATTGTAAGGGCAGTAAATTCGTAAGATTTTAGAGATTGGGAAAAGGACGTAGTTACAAGAGAAAGTGACACAGGCATACTCGGTACTTCGCGCTCGTCATCGAAAACAATTTTTGCTGTACTGGTGACGTGTGTTAGAAATATCTGTAGTAAAATTTGTGTAGTCATTCGCGTTTTGTCGAATGCGTAGTTTGATGAACCATTCACAGTGAAAGTGCGACTGCAGTGCAGACATTTGTGAGGCGCTATCACACCTACCGTACCGGTACGCTATGATGGCCGGTTTGACAGATCACAATAGTGAGGTCAAATCTCAATTCATTATCGAAAAAAATATAGTGAAATTCGAGTCGCATCTATAAGTTTTTAGATTTATAACTAGTAAAAAAAAAGTATTGCCAGTAGTAGCTGATTAAAAAGGTTTAATAAAACAAAAATAAAAATGTTTTCTTAATGTATCGTCAATTCGAAACTGCTTTGTTTTGCATTGAGCATTCACACGAGTTTGCCGGAGGTAGAAGTTGGGCTGGCCAGCGATTCCATGAGTAACAATCGTATTAGATTACATTTTTAAAAGTTTCTAATTTCGAAAAACAAATGCGGAGTTGTGTCGTAAAATCATAGATTCCATAAATTTGACTGCATGTCACTATTGTCAACAATGTACAGCAATTAGCTCTTTCAACGTAGTTATGAATTAATACGAAACTTTATGAGCGGACAAACGTCAAAACGGCCATGATAGCGTGTCGGTACTATAGTCGTTGTTTTGCATGTGTTTTCGGGATTTCATTCTAACTATACTCTAACCAAATTCTACATAGAATCATTCATCATTAACAACAAAACGTTGACGAGCATCGACAAAAAAAACATTTTTTGTCGATGCTCATTACTTGGCTGGCTTTATCGACAGCCTGCTCGCGTACAGTTTCAGGCTGTAAATATTGCAAATCGAAAAAAATCCGGAAGCCATGAATATTTCCGAATGCTATTGCCGCGTCTGTAACTTATTGTATTAACGACTGATGTATTGAAGACAAATTAATATAAAACTTTATTAGTCAACGTGTAACATCAAAGTCATTGACAACGTTAATAAGGCTTCTTATTTCGTTGTAATAAATATATCAGTGTATAACACAATGACGCAACAGCGTTCGGGTATATTCGTGGTTTCCGAGTTTTTCCGATGATTTTGCACATCGGGAAAATACAAACTGATACTGTAATTGTAATTTAAATAACAAAATTTGCATATGCAGTTTGCAAAGTTCCTATTGTTGCGTATGATTTATGCACAAAATAATTGCATTTTTTATACGTACTAATATTTACTGCTAGAGGCTTCAATGGTAGATGAAAAGAAACAAAATTGTAAGATTTTATTTGATATTCATTTACTACATGTCTCATCCAGCGTCAATTCCCGATTCCGAACCTGAATTACTATTCGAACTCGGATGTTTGCAATCTCCCCCTTTAATTCACATAATAATTAGGGATGACACGTTTATAAATCAATTAAGTACTATTATTTTTTATGTTGGTGTCAATTTACTTCGCAGTGATTTCAAGCTTCAATTTAACATAATCTCAGTACAGAGTGCTAAAAAAACAAACCTCAAAAGTCACTCATCCCCTAGTTTACCACCCTTAGCGGTGGAATATTTTCTCTAAATTTAAATGGGACCCCTACTGAGGTACCAGAAAGACATAATATTGATCACAAATATGATTTTAAAATTATGATAACTGTAAAGTTATTAGCAGTAGAGCTCCTTGTGAATGAATTTGTCCAAGGAAGTACTACCACTTTACCTATTTCTGCCGCCAGGCAGTAATGTGAGCATTTATACTGCGTTCCGGTTTGGAAGGGTAAGGGTGCTGGTGAAATTACAGCCACATGGGACTTGTCAACTTATGTGTCAGGATGATGTGGCAATGTCAGTGGCAATCCCCTAAGATCTTTGCAATTTAAAGCTCTGAGTGGCGCTGCAACTATGGTTATAGTTGTGCGCTTGGTTACCACCAAAACTTGTTGTTCCGTCACTTGATATAAAAAAACTTAATATATGATTTTGTTTGTTGACATTTATTCTATTTTGAGTTTGGCTAGAGTATAGAATGGTTCGTCTTTGTCGTGCCCACATTTCTATTGTGAAGGGACCAGTTATATCTCTGACACGTGGCTGTGCTTATCTAACGTGTTGATCTATGATCTTTTGTCCCACTGAGACATCTTACGAATTTACATAGAATGGGGACTTAAACCCATCTTACCGCATTAATCTCTTTAAAAGGAATGGCCTTTTTCCTCACGTACAGTCGCACGCAAGGTATCAAACGTCCATATATAGTTTTCTTTTGTCTGAGTTTCATTGAGCTCGTACAATATAGATAGCAACATTAATTAACATGAGAAAATAGATTTCTCATAGCTGGCGCTACGGCAAATAAGTCGTTAAAAACCAAAAATAAGGATCTGCTACAAACACATAGAAGAATTCGTAAGGAAAATTTCTTGTCCCTAAATAAAAAGCCGAATATATAGTTCTTCAATGATTAACATAGAAGAAATCGCGTTTCTGAGAAATGTTCGCCTTTACACAGTTTTTTTTATAAATTCTTTTATTGTAAATTCTCACGTTTATGATTCAGTAGAGTTAACGAAAATACATACACAAATATGTGTCCACCTTAATTGGACGTAGTTAAGCTAAAGGTTCCAATCCACAAAATTATCAAAAAAAGAGTTATGTGTACCAAATGGTTCCTAAAATCCAACATATAAACATAAATAAATATCTCTGGAGTTACTGATATTATAAGTTTTGAAAATAAAACAAGAATGAGAAACACTTTTAAACTTCAAACTGCCATATCTCGAAGGTGGCTGCATGTGCATTGGATCCTGTTTGTTTAACTACGTCCAATTGTCACTTAAAATGTCCCATTGTACTTTTGTGCCAAATAGTACAAGCTCGGAGCCTTGAACTTCGTCTTCTTATGGTATGGATGCTTATTTATTTTAAGACTATTAACTTTGAATAGTATGTTGTCACCTTGACTGCCCTATCCGTGGCGGCGTAGAGATCTTGCCTCGTGCATATGGACTGTATTTGGTCACTGCAGTCACATCTTGTTAGAACAATATCCCTAAACCGTCATTTACACATTGTGTCTGTGCAGCGACCTACCTGAGTGCGAAGTCGATTCAGAAACTTCCAC